ACTTCAGCTACTTCAGCTCTGCACCGGTCCTCCACCCACTCAGTCTCGCACTCCCTGCTGTAGTGGTTTTATATGAATGTGTATGGGTCAAAATGACGCCCTCTGCAGCTCTAGCTAAACTTTCTCTTCCTTTTGACGATGAGAGTTAAACAGGGTTTAAAACGACCGGCTTGGCATTTCCGGTGTTAAACACAGTGTGAACGTATCTGTGTGGACGGGAATGTTAATCTGGTAAAAAGAAAAGATGAAGAGTCCACGCTGTGATTAGTAAATGGGGTAAGCCCGAACACGTTATTGAGACAGGGATGTTTCTGGACTGGAACCTGTGGTATACGCTTGGGGAAACCTGAGTGATGAAACGTGTCACATTGTCGTTGCTGTTGCTGAATCATGCAGAGTTTTGTTTACCAAATGGCTCAACTATCGGACCGATTGTGCTTACGTGCATAAACAAAGGCCCATTTTGAGTCCGGAGACGTCTTGAATGACTATTTGAATATTCAAAAATCATGACCATCCCTACAAGCAAAATAAATATGTTTTCTGTCTCTTGCACGCTCTCCTCAGGTGCCACCCTTGCTTTAACCAAATTGAGTATTTCCAGTAGTGAAAACACATCTGGATCAGACTGTTTCCTGATACATGTGAGTAAAGTACAGCTTTGGAAAATGTCCTGACATTTTAGCTCAGTTAGCTTCATGTGCTTTCATTGTCTTTTTGAACTGCTCCACGAACTTCCCAAAACAGTAACAGTAAACTGAACACGACCCTGGAGGCATGCCCCCGGGAGCTGGTGAATGGATGTATTAAGCAATAGAAATCTGTAAGACTTGAGCGTATGTGTAGTCCTTGACTTCTTTGGTGAACTTTGGTTTACCAGTAACAAACATGTGCTGTACTTTAGTCCAGCTTGCCCACCTGTCGCCGCTCTGTGCCTCGAGCCATATTAAGTTTTATAACAAGTCATCAGCCCAGCTCCGCTGCTTCTTCCTCTTCTTTCTTCCTCACAATGTGTCCTATGTGTCTGACTTGCCCCGCCTGGGAACCATGGATGCAACCATGCCTCTGTACACAAATCACACTGATATCACATGCTGCTGCTGCTGCTGCTGTTAGGCAGCAACTTAAAGCAATTGTTTTTATGCACATGACCTCGGTTATTTATTCTAATCAAACATCAGGGACTTTGAAATAAAAGCCCGTCTCTGACGCTGGACAGTGGCCTCCTGCAGCTAAGATAAATATGGCATATGGTTACTATTTAAGGAAACAAAGTCATGAGAACCAAACCAAGTAAACCACAGTTCATGCTTTGGTCACATATCTTCTGACCGTCACATCTGGACATTTCCGTCCAATTTTGTGAAGCAAAAATCATAAACAAGTTGACATAAACACAAAGCACGAGGCGCACATGCCAGAAACTGCAGTTCCTCTGACGTCGCATTTCAACGTCTTCATAGAGTCGCATGTTAAAATGTTCAACTTTAACAAGGAAACGAACGTGTTTACAGCCTGATACAAGTTTGGGTATTTCCCAGTCAATGACAGGTTACTGTGGGCGAAGTTTTATAAAAGTTTAAAGTTTGACAGGAACCATGTTTGAGCTCATCGTGTCTTTTGGGGCTTTTCAAACAAGTTACTGAACCAATAATATAAGTGAGTGAATTTGTAGACGATTATTAGCTGGCGCTAATTAGCAGATGTCTTTGTCTGTGTTGCACAGTTGCCCAAATATGGTCACTTCTGGGTGCAACAATCCAACATGACAGTGCAAACACCGAGGTTTCAGTGACGTTACAGTGCCTGCATCATTCTACTTCATGCTTTCTGAAGTAAACATGCACACAGGCTTCTTACCCCCAAAAATGTGAGACAGTCAGTGGACCTGCACTTTTTTGAGCTGACTCAAAGCTCTTTACACCACAAACCACCCTCATTCATTCACACAGGACTTTATTCTTTAGAAAAAACTACTGTGTGCGAGTTTTATCTATCTGTAATCTACACGATTGCAGATAGATGACCTAACATGCACGACTTCAGATTGAAGAGGAAACCTGAGCACCCGGAGAAAACCAGCCAGGCGTAGAGAAAAACATGCTCGCTGCTTTGACCTTTAATTTTATTTTGTAAAAAACTAAGTGCAACCAATGACAAAGCACAACAACGATTATCTCTGAGTCTGGTCTCAGGTAGAGATCAGATCTTTTCCTGAGTGAGTCTAAATTTTATTTCTCCAACCAGTCACCAGTTAAAATGAAAGTAATCAGTTGGTTGAAACAGTAGAAAAAAAACAGGCTGCTTCCTCTTTCTGCAGGCGCCACAGTTTCCTCTGTGGTAGTACTTGAGCAACACTAGCGTTTTGTCTTCATACCACCCACACACTTTCAGACCCATCGCAGGTTTGACTTTTCAATGAACAGCATGCTATTAAAGTTCGCGCAGATTGTCGCTGCTTGTTGCCTGAATGTAAAAGACATTTTTATAACGTGGCAGCTGCAGCTCTGAGAACACAGCTTCAAAAAGTAAAGGACGCATAAAAACAGAAGTTGTAGCAACGCTTGATCCACAGTCTCGGTGTTTTGGACAGGAAGCAGTGACAGCCTGGCGATTACAAAAGACGTCAACTGTCATCTCAAAAGTGAGTCTTGGTTTGGGGGACTGGAGGGCAACTGTTTTTCATTCTCAGTTTATTCTGCAACAGTTTCCAAAACCTTCCATATAACATGGTTACAAAGTTCACAACTCCAACAAAATATACAACAATCATGAGGTTCATGCACAACAACCTGACCACTACCATGTGCATGTGGATAAAGTGGGGTTTGGGCAAGTAGATGAACCCTAAAATCCTAATTATTGACATCGGCATGAACGTGTGGCGGAGATGGGAGGGTCATCTCAAATCATCGAGAGCCTTCTGCTTATAAAAGTTGCAGGTCGATCGACGGGCTCCATGGAGCTCATATAACTTTTATTTGATAACTGGTCTAAATTTAAACTAGTCTAGTTCCTGTAGGAGGGAAATGTTTTCTACACAAATGGAAATGTATGAAAATGAAGAGCAACGACAGCAAACACTTCAGTGTTACGCTCGGCATGAAAGTTCTGCCAGACACATCTTATCTGTAGCTATTTTTATTTTATTTAATAACTGTACAGTACTCTCTGTTTATAGTGACCATTGTCCTTGATGTAAATATGTAAGAAAATTGTGTATGTTTCTGTTCTGTGTCCTGTTTGTTTGTATATGTGTCTTTCTGGCTGCTGTTACAACCAAATTTCCCCGTTGTGGGACAATTAAAGGATTATTCTATTCTATTCTATTCTATTCTATTCTATTCTACATTAATCAGCATTAAGCAATTTCCCAACCGTCCGGTTAAAAACTGTGAGACAAAGTCACAGTTATTGCTACAAATGAGGTTAATGCAAGCACAATGTCATGGATCATATCCAAAGTGGTTGGAAGTGAGATGTTGGAGTGTGAAGGGTCACTGTTGACCTTGGAAAGACTCGTTTCCCTCTCACAATAAACTTCTTCCTCAGCATATCCACTCCGATCAGTTCTCACAGCAGAGATATCTCGCATTTAAAAACTAAAACTTAAAGTTTGTTATTCACATGCAACAACTCATTTATTCAATCATTTGTGATTTATGGAGGTTTATGTGTTGCAACTAATTGTTGATGAGCAACAGTTTTGTGATCACAGGACAGTGTGCCATCCTTTTTCTGCCGTTTTGTACGCAACCTGAGGTCTGCTGGTGATAATATCAGCCATGTGGATGAATGAGAGTCTATTTCTGTACAGAATTAGGAAGCTGCCACCACCGCTGCTGCTGTATACAGAGGAAATGAAAAATCAACACTGATCGTATTCCCTCAGTGAAATGTCATGTTTAATACTGAGGATGAGTAGCTCATGTTTCACTGCAGCCGTGTGTCTGACAGTGTGTTCTCTACTTTATTTGCTTTCTTAAAGAGTTTTGAGCCTCGGGGCCACCATACCAGAGTGCAAAGACACGGAGAGAGACACTAGAAAGCATAGCATCTTCTGAAACAATGAGGGGATTGAATTCAGGCTTTAGATGAGCCACAAAACTGAGAAACATACAGAGCCGTGCTGTGCAGCAATTCATAAATTAATATCTAAAACTGGACGTCTTTTAGGGGTTTTTCCCCAGTAAAGCGGAATCATCTGCTTCTCACTAAAGACATTTTAAGATATAACTCCCACACAATTCTTTAACAAACAGCCCGGTGCAGACACAGTTAGGTCTCTGTGGACAGTTTTCATAATGACTGCAGCAGGAGACTTTTTTATGACCCTGGAGCTATACTGGGAGGGCTTTAGGGTAGGGGCGTGGCCTCTGACACGGCCTGTAGCTGCTGATTAAATGTTGATGTTAACGACTGAAAAGTCCACGCCCGATAAGTGACTTAACGATGGCTACGTCCATCTTTTAAATACAGTCAATGAGGGATTGTGTCACGCCAAGTGGGCGTTGGTGGAACTGCAGTTTGTGTCCAGAGTTTCAGCCCAGTTACTGCTCGTTTCCCCACAGATGAAACTTTATTTATAAATCAATAATTTGCATCCTTCGGAGGACGAGGACACGCCGGTAATCATGATAACAGCGAAAAATCTAAATCAAAGAATGACATGATGTTAAAAACATCGTAAATAATCCACCTGCACAGCTACAGATTTTCCCTTTCAGTTCTTAATATATTCTTGCACAATTACCCACTTAAATAATTTCTTGTGTTTTGCATGATCACAGACTGTGTTTTCCATGGTAATAGTTCCTTTATCTCCTCTATTTCTTAATTCGATGTTTTTTTGTGCAAGTCTAATCATGTCGAGTTTGAGGTACCAGCGGTGATGACTGAGGGGGTATTCAAAGGGTGCCATGGATACGATGTGTTTCAAAGGCGTCCACGTCAAATGAGATAAAGGTGCTGCTCTGAGAGAGAGAGCGGCGTTAGCTCACCTATGGTTTGTCGAAGCTCCTCGCACAAACTTATGTGTGGGAACTGCAGCATCTGCTTCCACTTCTTGCTCTTTCCTTTTCTGTTCCCGCCCCCTCCTGTGAATGACATACACATTTTTTATTGTATTTTGGGTTTGAAGGAGAAGAAACATTCAAAAGTAAATCAGCAGGATGTCGTCATACCGTTGATACTGAGAACCCGACTGAGGTTTTTAAGACTTAAATATGCGTCGAGTGCATATTATAAAACAGCACAGCGTCGAGCCGTGACGAGCCGCGCCCTGATGCTTCTGAACAAGTAAAGTAAGAAACGCAAATTCTGGTTTCCAGGTTGGATTTTGAGACCATTTCTGAGGCGGTGGAGAAAAAATCATTTCAGAGAGCCGATCGACCCGATCGATGCAGTGATCTGATTGGTCAGATCTGCTTATTCAGATCCAAAAAATCTAACTTGGTTTGAAAACATTAATGTTGCAAATTCACCCAGGGAAATCACATGATCCGTGTGAAAAGCTGCACTGAAAAATCAGGCATGCAGATATTTTCTGAGCGCTGGATGTTTTTCCTGTGCTTAAATTCATTGCAGGGACAGTCTGCGTTAGCCTGACTGCTCACCACAGATCACATTTAAACGATGGTCTGTTTGTGTCTTAGAAACCAGGAAACTCGTTGGTTCGATGAAGTCGGGTTTTTTTCAATCTTAGGACTGAGAGCGTCCAGCAGTCATTTGGGAAAAATGTTATTCTCCAACTGGTTGTCAAGTAGTTTCTGGAGGTTGCCAGCTTAAAAGCTTCCCTGCGACTGCTTTAGTCACTCATAGTTTGCACGAAACACACCAACCTATCTGCCAACATATAACCTGGAAAAAGAGAGCGTTTCCCTTCCAAGTAAAAGTTACGCCTTACCGTTGCAACCAACACGTTTCAAAAGGTACAGCTTTTACTTTGAAGGGACACTATATTTGTAGAGTAGTTTGAGTGTTTGCAAGTCGACGTCTTCCATACTGGTGGACGAAGCAAACGCCAGGAAACTCCAATTTGGATTTTTATTCTAAGGGAACACATGCCAATACGCCAATCACAAGGTAACATTATTTTACTCCGATGGTGGTTCCCACTAAGCAGACCAGACTATAATACAATAGAAGCTGCAGCAGGTGATGTCTGTGTGGTTTCAAAGCTTTGTTGTTGCTGTGATGAGATTCTTTTGATGGCCATGATGTAATTCCACATAAGTAGTCCTCCTGTTGGTGGTCATGGCTGAATATTCTTGGGTTCCCAAAATCACTGTTCTTCATGTTTCATCTGAAAACGCCACAGTTTACAAAGTAAACATCACGTGGTAAACACAACTTGCGACCATGAGCTCCACGAAGGTCGTAAACTGAGTACGAAGCAGGGTCGCTTTCTCATAGACGTCTATTCAATCAGATCTGTTTGAAACCAGAAGAGTCGCCCCCTGCTGGAAGTTGGTTAGATCGGTCCAAACGTGAGAACAGAAGAGAGAAAAGCAGCATGTTGTGGTTTTAGTAGGAAGCGCAGGCTCGATCTGTGGGGGTGATGTGACCAGAGGTGCTGATCTGAGCAGATGTGGCTCCCAACAAACAGCAGGAAACCCCAACACTCATACCCACAATCACTAATTTTGCAGCTTCACCCTCTATCTCTAATTTTGAGGGTTTGAGGCTTACACATGTTCAGTAACACCTCTGCTGTTGTCGGTCGTAGGTGGCAGGCAAGGCCAAAGGGCTCGTTACAACAAATGATCCCCAGCGATGAGCCGGCTCCTCACCAATCCAGCTGTGCACACACGAGCTGCAATGCACAAAGGAAAATGAAACCGAGAGCCGGACAAAGGTCTGCCTGTTTTTCCCTCCTTCCTCCAGAGTCGTATTCAAACAAGACGAAACCAGTGAGTGAAATCTGATTAAATTTGGTCCTTTGAATTTACTCAGAAGTGATATCGCTCTCTAAAAGAGGATCTTTGTAAAGCTGTGACCTGCTGGTCTGCATCTGAGGATTGTTTGTTTTGGGGTTTCTGGGATGTTTTGAAGGACAGTCTGAATAATCACAGACACTGAGAAAAACAGAGGGAAGTAGTTTCTAAATCAATAATCAATTTAGCAAACAGGTCCTGGAAGCCTGTTTAAAGCTTTTGAACATTAAGCATTTTCTCTGTGGACAAAAGCAGACTGTCTCTGCACCCAAGCCTGAACCACTCCTGAATCCTCTTTGTTTATCTCAGTTAAGAGCACATGCTGTGGTCAGAGGAGGGATCTTTTATTCGAGGCTCCGTGTTTGAAATGCGATGAGGTTAAAAGTCATGGCAACCCTGCAGCCGATGAACCGTTTTCATAGAAGCCGTCGAGCAGGGTGAAGACAAAGAGCTGCAGAACAAAGAGAAACCAGAGGAAGTTCCTGTCCTCTCTGTGTTTGGGCGGTTTCTCAGAGCCAGGCGGCACTCTCGTTTCTGATAGAGCTTCATTCAAGACGCAGCAATAAGCAGGACCAGCGCACTCTGTGAGCTCATGTCTGAGCCTTGAACGCCAACCATCTTCCCTTTGCAACTTTAGGAAAGAGATCGGATCCTGTCACCATGCTCCGTATATATCTGCTCCAGAGATTCTTAACATTTAATCTGATGACAAACATCCATTTTTAGAGATATTGGATCATCGCGCTACAAAAACAAGAATAAAGTCTTTTAAGAATCTGCATTTAATATTGATGCTCATCAGTAAAAGTCGGGAATTCAGACGATCTCTAAAAGTGGAGCAAAGCAGTGATGGAGAAATGTTTTGGTAGCATCGACTGCAGTTCCTCTAACAGCCAGTTCACAAAAAGTGACTCGTTCCTCATTGACTCCCATGTTAAAAAAAATCCCACTTTACAGAAGAAATCAACCAGCTAAGAATAAACACATTGGGACAGTTTCTCCCTTTAACTCAGCTTCAGTGTGGTGGGTAAATTTGTTTATAACTGATCCATCTCCATCCTTCCGAGGCTTAAAGTTGGGCTGCAGTGATTAATATTGGATTGCAGCTCTAGTAGAAGTGGATTGGGCTTGTTCCCATCATGCATTTGGGAGCATTTTTAGTGGAATATCTGATAAGTAATATATTCTCTTCTGCTTCCAAAAACCCAACAGGACAGCTGCAATAAATCGAATCAAACTGCAGGTTCATAAATGGACATCAGTGTCTGTGGTCTCATCATCGTGTTGCTATTTTCTGGCCCTTTGCTACAAAAAACTGGGACAGAAAGTCCGATTTAAAGAATAAAAAATAAAGGAGAGCGAGTCCCCCCATCTGCTGTCTGTAAACACCCTCTTACGTGAAATATCGTGAACCTGCACCATCCAGGCTTTCACTGATAACACGGCGTTGTTGTAAATACAGCAGCAGCCTTGAGGCGTCCAGCCTTCAGCATCCCTGATCCTGAAGGAAGGCAGTCCACGCTTCAGGATTTGCTATTCAAATACTTCCAGGCAGCTGCTTTGAAAATCAATTACTGTCATAGAGACACTGCAAACAAGATGTTGTGTTTGTGCCTGAAAAATGGGCGATGATATCAGAATTACAGATAAGCTGACTGATGCCCCGCGCTCGCTGTGTGCATTAGTGAAAATGTAAATCAAGACAAACAGCATGAGTACACGGATGGAAAGCCAATGAAAGACGGACTGAGCGATACACCGATGTAATTAAGATGAAAGCAGCCCAATTCATCCCGCACTCTCAAAGTCATTAGGCAGTTCAAAGGTTACACTTGAAGGCCAAACATGACCCTGGAGGCCATTATGAGGCTGGCTTATGAGCTAAGCAAGGTGAGTTCAGGTTTAACCATGCTCTGAAGCAAGTCCAGGAAGGAAACCACTGCCCGCTGACCAATCAGCTGACCAATCAGCAGGCAGTGGAACACCTTAAACTCTGTATTTCCATTCATGAAGACGTCTGCTGATTTCAGGCCTTCACAATGACTTTGACTGGGTTCGGTGTTGGGTGGTGTTTTTCTGAACCATGGAAATAATTCTGTGATCATCCACTTTAGGTGTTGCTACGCTGGTCAGTGCATCCATGCTTTCAAAGAATGAACAAGATTGTTGATTTGACTGGTCTCTGAATCATTTCTAGATCTTTTATCAGTTTCCTGTCCGATTACTTTTAAGTCTCTGGAAATGGGACACTGTCTTTAAAAAAGACTGTAAGTTCTGATGTTGCAAAAACACTCTGCAACAAAGCTGAAGGTCTGCACGTCTTTGCATCTTGATTATCTGATCTAAAATCCACTGTGGTGGTGTATGCATTGTGTATAATTTGTGAAGCAAGGCACCACAACCAGGAAGCTCCTCTTTGCAATAAAATGTTAACATCGAAGGCCCGGGTAGGACCATCTCAGGACACTGTAGGTAGAGAACACAGACGCAGACAGACTGTGTCTTCTGCAGAGGCCACACACATTCTGATTCAATACAGATTTATCAAATCAGTTTATCAGCTAGGTCCAGAAATGCTTCTTTTAATGATGTTTTTCTGTATGTCAGGGCACCGGATTAAAATGCTGAACAGGTCATTACAACTTTGGTGGTTCAACCAACATGTAAACCGAGGCAAGTGCTTACATCGAGTGGACAGAAAACCGGCCTCAAACATGCCGATTCGCAGCTTTTTCAGCAAAGCAAACTAAAAGTTGTTTTTTATTTGTCTCTGCGACTTCGTTCCGCTTACATGTTTATTTTTAAAAGGCGTTATTTTAAGGTGTTTGTGCTTCGCTTTAAAGCTCACAATTTCCCAGATTTTAATTGCTGTAAACAGCAGTGAGACAGGAAGTGACATCAGGGACCGAAATCACATAGCATAAGGTGAGAACTGGAACGCAAAAAAAGAGAGGAGGAGGTGACAATCAAGTCAGGTTCAGATGCGGCTTTTCATGGTATTTCCTGTGAGAAGGCCTGTTTCCTTTGTGCTGTGCATTCAGACTGTGGTTTCCTACATTAAAGGAGGATATTTGTGTCTATATACCAACTAACATTACTATAGGTGTAATATGGCAGTATTAGAGTGTGCAGGGTTTTTACTGATGTGTTCGAGTCCCGGG